ACCGATTGTGTGCCAGCCGCGCCACGCGCGCCGCAAAGTCCAGCCGCAGCAGCGGCGCCGCGCACGACGGCGCGCGTTGCGCCTTGCGGATGGTCGGTAGCGCCGGTGGCAGCGGTCGGCCCATCTTGTGCTGGCGGTGCCCGGGAGGGGGGGCGCGAGGTGCAGGTCGTGGAGGAGGAGGAGGTGATACGGTACCCCCTTGGTACAGTAGCACGGCGGAGCGCAATGGATCACGGATTGAATTTTGCAGGCCGGCTTTTTGGCGCGGCTGGCCCGCCCTTACACTGCGTGCCTTCATCCGGGGCTATGTCCAGGGAACCGGTGAAACTCTTCCCGTCAAGAGTGTGCACCGGGAGGCGTAGACCGGCGAGCGCGAGGCAGCGCACATTGAGCGCGAAGCAATCGGGGTTGCTGCGCGGTACGTACAACGGCTGCACGCCGCACGTGCGGCAAAACGTGTGCTGCGCAACGTGCGACGCGAAGCGGTACGTGGTCAGGTGCGCGGCGCTGGAGGCGTGCAGCGACACGAGCGACTGCGGTAGGGTAAGATGCAAGTAGCCGCGCATGGAACAGATCGAGCAGTTACAGTCGAGGAGGGGCGGCGCCGGCTGTGGCGCCCGAGCTGTGAACGTCACCAGCCCGCAGTGGCAGCGCCCGTGTAGAACGGCCGGCAGGGCGGCGTTACCCGCCGGAGCTCCGGTGCACGGCACTAGACGGTTGAGGGATCCGTCCCAGAGGAGGCCGGATGGGCGCAGCATTTCGCGAAAGGAGGGAGACGGGAGGGAGGCGGGAGGGAGGCGGGAGGGAGACAGATGGAAGAAGAAGAATGCGCCGGCAAGCTCCACGTGCTGCCGCAAGTTGTTTAAAGCTTTCGAGTTTACGAGCTAACCCTCTAAATCCTATCCCCTTCAACTGCATCCATTATGTTGTGATGTACATCGATCACGCGTCCACCACAATCTCTGTGAGCGTGGGGTGGGCGTCGCAGACGGGCGCCTCGTAGAACTTGAGGGCGAGTGACGACGCGACGACGGCAAGCGAGCTGAGCGCCATGGCGGTGGCGGCGACGAACGGCGGGATGCGCCGTCCGATGACGGGAAACAGAACGCCGCCCGCGAGTGGGATGGCCAACATGTTGAATCCCAGCGCCCACAAGTAGTTGACCTGTATTCTGCGGAAGGCGCACGTAGCCAAGTCCAGTGCCACGGCCACGCCCCACAGGCCGTCGCGCATCACCACGATGCCGGCCTTGTCTGCTGCGAGCTGACTCCCGCTTCCCATCGCGACGCCCACGCATGCGGCCGCCAGCGCCCCGGCGTCGTTAATCCCGTCCCCGACGAACGCCACTCCGTCCCCGCCACGCCCCACCTCCGCATCCGCATCCGCATCTGCGCCCACGTCCGTGTCCGCCCGGCCGCCCCGTCGCCTGTGCTCGTGCACCACCCGCACCTTGTCGCCGGGCAGCGCGCGCGCGTGCACGTCTTCGTCCGCGATCCCCACTTGCTGCGCCACCGCCCGTGCTGTGCCCGCACTGTCCCCCGTCACCATCCCGCACCGCACGCCGCGCGCGTGTAGATGTGCGATCACGGCCGCGCTGTCGGGGCGCACCGCGTCTTCGATGCCGAACGCTACCACGCCGTGCCGCGGCACGCACGCGAGTACCACTGTCTTGCCGCTGTCTTCCCAGCCGTTGAGAATCTGCTGCACGTCGTGTGACAGCGTATGGTCGGTAGAGGACAGCGCCCATTCCGCCTCACCGATGCGCACCTCGCGCAGCTCGCCGTCGCCGCCGTCGTCCAAGACACACGTCACGCCCTTGCCGGCCACGGCTTGGTGCGAGGAGAGCGTGGGCGAGTCCTTGAGCGAGTCCTTCAGCGAGTCCTTGAGTGAGTCCTTCAGCGAGTCCTTGAGGCCCATGCTCTGTGCAGTTTGAGCCGCGGCGTACGAGGCAATTGCCTGGGCAAGGGGATGGTCGGAAAACGACTCAGCTACCCCGATGATGTGGAGGAGGGTGTCATCGGGGGCCGTGTCTTCCGAGCTGGAGAGGATGGTTTCGTCGTCGGCAGAGGGTGCAAGCGAGGAGGCGCGCGTTACAACAGGCTTTCCGATTGTCAAGGTCCCCGTTTTGTCGAAGAGAACGGTTTGCACCCTGTGCGCCGCCTCCAACGCCTCGCCGCCGTCCTTGTACAGGATGCCCAGCTTTTGTGCCCCTATGCTCGTCGCCATCATCACCACGGTCGGTGTCGCCAGGCCAAATGCGCACGGGCATGAGATCACGAGCACAGAAAGACCAAACAACAGCGCGAAGAGCACGTTGCCTTCACCGTCTGCCCAGTCGCCTGGGATTACTGCGCTTTGGATGAGCGCAAACCAGATTGCAGTTACGACCAACGCGACGATGAGCACGGCCGGCACGAATGTAGCTGAGACCTTGTCGGCCACAGCTTCGATTGGGGCGCGCGAATCTTGCGCCCGTTTCACCAGCTCGATGATCTTCTCCAGCATCGAGTCCGAGTCGCTGGCTGTGCAACGCACCACGACTGCACCACTGCCGTTCACAGTTCCCGCGTACACGGCATCCCCGGGGCCCTTGCGCACTGGCCACGACTCTCCGGTGAGCATGGATTCATCCACCGTTGTTTCCCCTGCTTGCACCGCACCATCCAGGGGGAACGATGACCCGGGATTGACCTGGAAGTGGTCATCCACCGACACCAGCTCCGCATTGACCGGTTCAGAGTAAATTGGTTGCGATGAAGGCGGCCTGGACACCAATGTAACAAGACGAGGTGCGAGCTTGGTAAGTGACTCTACTCCTGCCGTGGTCTTCTTCTTGGCCATCGTCTCCATCCACTTCCCAAACAGCACAATCGTGATCAGCAATGACGATGTCTCAAATGCCATCGCATCCTCCGTGACTTCTAGACCCCTCCTGATCTGTATGGTGTTGAGAACGAGGAGGGTCACGCTGAAGAAGTAGGCTATGGAAGTCCCCAATGCGATCAACAAGTCCATGTTCGCCCTGCGCTGCTTCAGTGAGTACCATGAACCTCTGTAAAAGCGAAAGCCAAAGAGGAACTGGACTGGCGTGGCAAGCACAAACGCGATGATATCCACGACGCGGAAGCCGGACCCTCCAACCAAGTGGTGCAGACCTTTGGCACCGAGCGCGTCGACCCGCGCGAACAGCATCGTGCAAAGCGCCACCGGAAGGGTACAAAGGAGTGCTCCGATGAAAAGACAACGGAGATGGTGGGCCTCCTTTTGCAACATGGCGGTCGCCTCCACGTTTCCAGTCAGGATTGGGTCGTTCCGGGAGATGACTTGGTACGCCGAACCGTCACCCTCTTCCCTGCCCTGGTCAAGAAGCCTGACGGCATCCAATTTTCTGTGGGAAGAAAACTGTGCGATCGGAAGCTGCTGCTTCTTCCTCTGCGACCTTCCCAGAGACCTCCACAGAGACCTCCACAGAGACCCCTTTCCATGTCCCTTTTCATCTGCGGCATTATCCGCATCCCCCGCATCCCCTGCACACTTGCCTTTGTTGCGGTTGAACAACTGTGCTTTTGCTACCAGCGAGGATGCGTTGAGGATTTCGACCGCCGTCCGTGCCTTATCCACCGTCGGGAAGCTCAGGAACACTTCATCCCTCTGCACACCATCCTGTGTGACGTCGGCAGCCGTATACCCCAGCGACTGCAACCTGTGCAACGACTTGTCGCTGTCGAAGCAACTTTGGTCCACCTGCAGTGCCGCACGCGCCGTCAGCAGTGACACAGACGCTGACTTGACGCCAGGCATGGCCCGCAGGACTTCCTCGACTTTGGACGTGCAGGCGGCGCACGTCATGCCGCCGATCGAAAATACGACACCATCCCCCTGCATGACGGCCTTTTCCTGACACACGCATGAGCTTCCCCCACCGTTTATGCAGCTGCACGACGTGGGAGAGGATGAGGAGGGCGAATCCGTCGAGGAGATGCAGACGGGCAGAACGACGTCCAAGACGGCATCCTCAATGCCATCCTCAACGCCATCCACAAGCACGCCAGGGGCGGCACGGGCGGCACGGGCGGCGCTGCACTTGCAGGGGTTGTTCCCACAGCCGCAGGGAGGTAAACGGAGGGCTTGAGCGGGGGTGGCCGGGGTGATGGCGCCGTCCTTAACTGCGTCACCAGCAGCATCGTGCGTCTTGGGCACAATAGAAAACTTGGCCGGAAGGGCAACACGCACTGCGGCGATGACATCGTCAGCGCCGGTGGGGTCCTCCAAGTAAAGCGAGACGGTGGAGACGCGGCCGGGCTGGTCATGCAGGGCGACTGTGACGTGAGAGATGCGGGGTAAGGGTGTCAGCGCTTTGACGACAGCGGGGATGCAGCCAGGGCAGGAGAGTCCTGCGACGCGGAGGTTGAAAGTAGACATGATTGGGTGTGTAGGTCGGTGGGTGGGTGAGGAGAGTTGATAGAAGGTGAGAGAGGGTGAGAGAAGGTGAGAGAAGGTGAGAGAGGGTGAGAGAGGGTAGGTTTGTGGGTGAGTTTATGGGCGGGTGAGGAAGGTTGAGAGAGGGTGAGGGGGGTTGAAGGCGGACAAGGGCGGGTGTACGAAGGTGGAGACTTGTTTAATGACCGAGAGAGAGAGAGAGAGGTTGGGCGAGGTGGTGCTGCCTTCCGGTTTGCACTGCGACTGATGCGACTGATGCGATTAATGCGATTCAGGCGATTCATTCGATTCATCTTTACTGACAACCAGTTGGGGACCACTAGTTAGTTGGTAATTGTTTTGTGGGACGCTAGTTAGTTGGTAGCAAGTTGGGGACCACTCCGACTGCCCGTCAGGGCCCACAACTCGGTGACGGCGGCTACTTTTGCCTTGTTCTTGTACTTTGCAAACAACCATGGGACTCAGTGTCAGTATCTTTCCTCCACTGCCACGGCCCTTGAGTGTACATGGATGCAGACACGCATTTCGGTGTTCGATGCGATTCATCAATTGACGCCATCTGCCCATCATCTCTTTTCACATAAACCATGCAAGTGGCTGGCACTACCACTAGTGCCAGTGCATTGGAGAAAACCGAGAAAAAAAAAAAAAAACTCAATCTCCGTGTCACACTCCGAACTCAATCTCCGAACTTTCCAGCACCGGCGAAACACTTGACAAGTCTCCGGGCCGACATTTTTCTATACAATTCTAAACTGTGCGCGGTTGCTTCTGCAACCACACAGCAACCTTTTGTCTTTTTTGAAGCTTTTATGAATCAACCTTTTGTAAACCTTTTACAAAAGGTTGACAAAAAGTTCATTGTGGAATCCAGATGCAGTGTATTTTGTGGTTTTCTTGTGCTACCTACCTCTACTTTTCTTAAACCACAAACAGTGGTGCACTCAGTCATGTTGAGCCTACCTCTACTTGATGCCTGTACTACCTTATCCCTCTTGTCATTCCATCGCAACGCTCAAACTGAAATCTCAACTACAATAAAAAGGCCCTCACCTGGAATCACCTGGAATCACCTGCGCACCTGACACCGCGCATATGTGACCACGCGCACATGACCGCCCGTCCTTGCGCTCTCCATAAATGAACAACGAACAGCTGCTTTCCAATCCATTCCGCGCATTGCTGGACGTCTTACAGTACTGTACGAGCTATTCTCTCGCCCAATTACAGTAATTTACGTACACGTGTGCACTACTGCCGTACTACCCTCTCTACTCTCGGTTTAATGACATACTCGGGGGGTGCCCCCTAAATCGCACAAGGCCATAGGCAATTGAACAACGGACAAAATCCATAAAATCAACTGAAAATCTAACAATCAAGCCGCCGTGCCAGTATTTCGCACAAAGGGTTACTGTAAAAAGCGTCATAAGTCTGCAATGGTGGCCCGCACGGCCTAAACAGTTCCAAAAATAGCAAATGCGCGGTTCTTTTGCTTGGGAAACAAAATTTGAAATCCTGAGTCGAACACCATGGCTCCCAAATGCTCATCACGAGCAATTCCAGTGTCTCTACAGATTGCCGATGGGAACATTTTCTGTTCCTTGATGGCGAACCACCACTAAGTCCAATTACTCCCTTGACCCATCAACCATGACAAAACGCCAGCGTCGAGAGACTCGAGAAAAACGGATGTTGGACGCCGCCTTTGTGGCGACGGACCAGGGAGTCACTCGACGACAGGCTGCTCTAATTGCGAAACTTCCACTCTCTACGTTCCAATATCGCTTGGACCGACGCCATAGCCCTCCAACCAAAAGACGCACGCTGCTCACAGAGGAAGAAGAAAAAAATATTGTAAGTGTGTTGAAGCGTTTCTCAAACCGTGGACACCCACTGACACGAGACGACCTTGCTGATACAGTTGAACTTTTGGTTCGAGCCATGCCGTTGGAACGGCGTTCCAAGCTCCCATTTGTTAACTGTCGCCCCGGAAAGAAATTTGTTCGCCTCTTTACAGCACGCCATATTGCTCAAATTAAGCTTGGAAAGGCGAGACCACAAGAAGCTGTCCGATGGGCTGCGACAAATTCTGACGTCTTGACAACACATTTTGTGCAAATCGAAGCGCTCATGAAAGAGCACAATATAGATGCAAAACGCTTGGCAAATTTGGATGAGTCCGGATGTTCCCCGGAGCGAGGAACTGGAACTAACCGCATGTCAACCTATATTACCAGGCACACACTTCCGCAACAACGAGCTCCCAAATTTAGAAATGTTAAGAGAGTGAAAATCATTCCAGTTATATTTGCCAATGGGGATACTGCCAATCCCTTGTTTGTTGTCGAAGGCTGCTCGTTAATGTATCGTATCATCGATGTAAGCAACCGGGACGTTTGTGAGTCGCTTGCCGATTGTATTCCTCGTGGTGCATACATCACAACACGCGAAGAGGTTGCTGGAATAGACAAAAAAATATTCAGAGAATGGGCTACACGGTTTGTCAAGGAGGTAGCGGACTTGACGCAGAATGGGCGTAAAGTACTCCTGCTGTACGATGGTTACAGAAGTCACATGGGAATAGAAGTATTACAAACACTCGAAAAGGGAGGAGTAATCGCATATGCTCTTCCCTCGCACACGAGCGGGTCTACACAACCGCTGGATGTTGGGCTATTTGGACCATTTAAGCACCATCTAAACAAGGAAATTTGCGCTACGTCGACTACAGTAACCGCGAGTGAGCTGGACAAGTTTGACTTCCTCAAACTGATGCGTGAGGCGTACGAGGCGTCGTTCACACGTGCGAATATAATCTCTGCTTTTGAAAAGGCCGGTTTGTGGCCTGTAGATCCTCACAGACTGTTAAGAACCCCACGACCGTACAGTTCCGAAGACGTGTCCCGCATTTTATCAGTGAAAGAAATGGAGGAAATGCTTGAGCTAAAACGGAAGACACGGGCTCAGGGCATCGGTTTGAGACCAAAAGTTTCAAAGTGTGGCTATTTGGACACATCTAAGGGGCTGAATCTATGCAGTCAAGAGGCGATGAAGCTCGTCAAAGAACAGGAGGAGAGGAAACGCAGTACGCATGCGCGAAAACTTCTTTATGCTGCAGATAAAAGTGCTCGTGAAGCGCTCGCCGTGGAGAGAGTGCGCCGAGAGCGGGTCAAGTTTGAGCAAAGGAAGCTTTGGTTTCGAGTGAAAAGGTACGGGGATCCGAACGTGATGCCAAGAACACTGAAAGTGCGTCGGAGCTTAGCGGTGAGGCGCAAGCTTGAATGCAAGGTGGCGACCGAGTCTTGTTCTTCTTTGCATCAATGAAAAATAAATGTAACGGTTTGATCTCGTCAGTTGAGATGGAAAATTTCAGTTAAAAATTGTGGCTTCCGGTTATGACTCTGCGTTCAAGACAGAGTGGTATCTTGCCTCTGATTGAAGGTGAACTTGGTGCGAGGGGGACTCAATGTAAATATCACTGACGAGTAAATCGGCGTGACGCTGGAACTGGATCTGGCGCAGTTCTTTTCTGCGATGTATGAGTTGGAAAGGCGGGGTCGTGGAACGTTTCCTTCGTATTTTATTATTAAAATGTTTGATATCGTTCAGATTAGGGGGACCCCCCCGAGTACCGCTCTCCCCCTCCTTGTCGATGCAAATAGGACTCCCCTTTCGTATGGGGGGCCATGGGTTTACACCTCTCACTCCATTTTCTGCACGCATCGTATGCAGCAAGCCTCCTCGAATCTGCCTCTGTTCGTATCCAAGGTCCCGCGCATCCTTCCGTCCCGCAATACCGCAGTATGTCCCGCCGCTACCTTGTGGGCATCCTCGCGTCTACCCACCCCGAATTGCATACCAGAGGTGTGGTGAGCACGCATTCATCACTTGGACCGTTTGAGCCTGACGCCCTGCTGGACCGACCTGAACGCGTACATCACACACTATTTCAGGCGCTTCATGAGGCATTCGCTCGCATTTACTGTGAAAAGTCCGCATGGGACCGGCTACCCTCCCCCTCTGACCACACCGCCGCCTCTGTGCGCCGTCGAGCGCGGTACAACTCTCTCTCCGCTCCCGGAGCCGCTGCATTCCTTTGCGCCCACCCTGCCCTGACGTCCCACGTTTCTAACGAGGTGTGGTCCGTAATGCTACGTCGTCATTTAGATACAACGGTCTACAGCGACTCCATCACGCCCCTTGTGTGCTCCCACTGTCGTCATCGTATGGACACCCGCGGGGACCATGCTGCTATATGTCGGTACGGCTTCGGTGTTGTGCATCGCCACAACACCGTGCGCAACGCTCTTGCGCGACATGCGTTTCGCGCCGCCGGACTGCGTTGTGATCTCGAAGTGCCCTTCCTGATCCCCGGAACTGCTCACCGTCCAGCCGACATCCTCGTCCAACCTTCCCCGCCTCCTGCGGGCGCTCTTCCAGACCGGCCCACCGCCTACGACGTCACTGTACGCAGCCCATATCGCGCAGGAGCCCTCGTCCCGGCCGCTCGACGCGTGGCCGGGGCTGCTGAAGTGGCGGATGCGGACAAACTTCGCACGCACGCTCGCCTTCTCCGCTCTGCCCTACATTTGCAATCCGACGCTGTGCTCCCCCCGTTGGACTGGCACTTCGTCCCCTTAGCGTTCGACACTCTGGGCGCCCCCAGCGCCCGCACTTCAGCTGTACTCGAGTCCCTCGCTCATCAAATAGCCATCCGCACAGGGACAACGCTTGGTACCGCCAAGTCCCGAATGTCTCAGCGCCTCAGTTACGCCATTTGGTCAAGCGTTGCCTCCGCCACGCTCGCCCGCATGCCTTATCATGGACCGGCCTTATCGTGCCCTACCCAAGTGTGAAGCCTGTCCTATGATATAGCATCGGCCATCCCTACCTATTGAAAATAAATTTACACTCTTCCACACGTGTACATCGCTGTGATGCAATCTCCAACGGCCCCGCGTCTTCGAGCTCAACAGCGA